ACGGGGCGGGGGGCAACAAAGAGCCAGCGGGATCGATGTGGCTGGCGGGGAACAAGGAGCAGGAGTGAGATCAGCCACTGGGAAGAGCGATGCCTGAGCTGGCGGAGCAGCAGTGCCATCGCCTGGAGCTCCCCGCCAAGATGCTCTCCTCTGGGTAAATCCCAAAGCAAACACAAACACATGTTATTTTTATTTATCCGTAGCTGAGACCTCTCCCAGACCACGGAGACTCCCCAGCAAAGGGGCCAGGCTTTACACCAGCCTTCCCTTATGCCAAATCATCGAGAGGCTGAGCATCCCTATTCTTTCCTTTTTTCAACCCAAAAGCATGGGGGACACGGCCAGACAGCCTTCATGTCAGCACCAGCAGCAGCAATGCCAGTGAGGACCACCCTGCCGCAGCTGGGTCAGGCTTTCACCAGGGCACCCTAATTTTGCATGGAGGTGGTGCAGATCTTGAACACAGATGGGGAAACTCTCCTGTAAAGGGCCAGAGGGGCCCCTGGTTGAATATGAAGAATAAATGGTTTTGGGGATGGTGTTTGAGGCAGTGCTGGAAGGTGGCAGGGGAACACTGGGGTTAGGCTTTCTTCAAGGGATGTGGAAGATGGGGAAAGCAAATTTGTTTTATCAGAAAGCAAGAGTTTGCAGAAAACGAGGTGTCCGGGGTTAATTCTACCCTAAAAAATAAGATTTTCCATCTGTGGTCCCAGTAATTGCGAAGATCTGGTGCAATCCCGCCATTTTCCACCGATTCACGCACAAGTATGCCTCAAACCCGGGCCATACTCCATGCCGCAAACATGTTCAAACCTCATGAGGCATAAATAAGTATAAATAAATAAATAAATAAATAAAGGCTCCTGCCCCCGATTCTGGGGGGAGGCAGGCAGCTCCGGTTCCCGGACCTCGCTGAGGGTGGGAACCGGAGCCACGGCAAGGCCACGGCAGAGGGGTGGTCCAACCTGTGCTATAGCATATGCGCTGTTATACGTGCCATTTTAGCGTACTGTGTGCTATTTTGGCACATATACTACTTCATGGGGTATATGTACACCCGTAAATGCCATGTTGTATTGGACACGCGATGTGTAACCAAGGAGGTAGCGTCTGCAGCTTGGACACCACACAATACGCGAGATATACAAACAAAAACCTAAACATAAAACAGTTCATTGCACACAAACCATGGGGGGAAAAAAATGTGCAACCTACCTGTCCCTTGAAAACTGCGGGCCTGACACATGGGCTGCCCACACCCCCC